CTAAGTTCTGTCGATTGGAATGAAGTACTACCGCAGCAATTATGTACACGATGGCAACAGTTTGTATCGGAAATGCATTTATTGGAAACTTGTCGAGTTCCTCGCTACATATCTGTACCACATCAAGAAATGGAACTGCACGGATTTGCTGATGCATCATCTCAAGCGTATGCTGCCGTCATCTATAGCCGCGTCGAAGTCAACAATGGATATGCTGTCAAACTGATTATGGCTAAAACTCGCGTAGCCTCTATTAAGCCTATCTCTATTCCGCGACTAGAGTTAAACGCAGCTCATTTACTCTCTAAACTGATTTATCTGGTCAAGCAATCATTAACTGTTCCTATTTCCAGAATCAATTGTTGGTCAGACTCTGAAATAGTCCTGCATTGGCTATCTTCTCTGCCTAGGACTTGGAACACCTATGTTTGCAACCACACTGCTGAAATTCTAGAGGTTTGCTCACGCAGCTGCTGGCAACATATTCGAAGTGGTGATAATCCCGCAGACTGCGCATCGCGAGGAGTACTGCCAAAGGACATCGTGGATCATCAAATATGGTGGAATGGACCACCTTGGCTATCTCAGTCACGTTCAGCTTGGCCACCTGTTAAAGCTAAGTTTGTTCTGTCGACAGAAGAAGAGGCCTGCCTAGAGATGAAGGCTGAAACGAAAGTTAATCTACACATTTCCGACGACGGAAATTCGCTATCTTGTATGATCAACAAATCCTCCTCATGGTCCCGTTTATTAAGGATAGTCAGCTACTGCCTTCGCTTCGTTCATCGTCTTCGTGAGAGGAATCGACTTTCACCATTCCTATCGGCGTGGGAGCTACAATATGCATGAGCTAAGATCTTGACGCACGCTCAAGAGGAGTTCTTCAACGTGGAGTACAAGCAGTTAACTACCGGACAGCCATTGTCGAAGAAATCGAAGTTGATTCGCTACACACCCTTTTAGACGAGCAGAGAGTAATGCGTGTTGGTGGTCGCATTGATGATTCTATAGCTACTTATGACGCAAGGCATCCCATTCTCCTTCCTAAGGAATCTCCAATGGCTGGTCTGCTAGTTCGCTATCAACATGCTGCATTGTTACACGCTGGAGTCGAATACACGTTTCATAGTCTACGCCAAAGGTATTGGATTCTAGAAGCTCGGAACCTCATCCGCAAAACTGTATTTCAAGCTTCATGGCCAGCCACATCATGTAAACATCAACAGACTGCAGCGCTGGAGACAACTACAGGCCAAGGTTCAAGGTTTCTGGAAACGTTGGAATCTCGAGTATCTCAGCAAGCTTCAACCTCGCACGAAATGGCATCAAGATGCTCCAAATGTTGCCGTGGACACACTGGTTGTGCTGAAGGAGCCCAATCAACCGCCAAGCAAGTGGATGCTAGGACGAGTCACCGAAGTTCATCCTGGCCAGGATCAGAGGGTCCGGGTGGTCACCGTTAAAACCGCCAAGGGAATCTACAAGCGCCCTATTACGAAAATTGCTGTGCTTCCTTTGAACTGAACCGTCGTTCAGGGGGGCCGGTATGTTGAGAAATAGTTCGTCTTTATTTTGCATTTAAATAGTATTACATTTGCTTCTTTACTTGTTAATTAATTTCTTATTATCGTACCTATTTTTGCGCACATCATTGTCTTGTTTACCATTTGGGAGCTTTAAGCTCACACGCATAGCCGAAATTGCAGTGCAATGCGTTAGTATTAGAACATCACGCGATCGTTTTTCAGTTCTTTTTCTGCGTTTTGCAAGTTGGCCGCATTCTCTTGTTGACATTAACCGCAACCACTCGCTGATAGCAACCCCGCTTAAAAAAATTGTAAGCCCGCTAAATAGTGAAAATAAATGCATAAAACTACAATAAAAACCATAATACAGTCCACTATTCATAAACATAACAAATTTTGGTCTTTCGAGCCGGATACCCGCGTTTATTTGTGCATTTACTTTTGTGAACATTAGAGACAAATTTACCGCTTTCTCGTCATGAACGCGATAATGCATAGAACGATTCAACAACGTGGTGCCTGCAAGGGGCAAATAACGCGCACCCTCAACAGTGCTGTGGAGTTTTCACAAAGATGTGAAAATGTGGAAACGTTTGCGTTTATGTAGCTCTCAGATGATTTAATGGAATTTCATTTGGAGGAGGGATATGAAGACCCTGGATTGGACATACCCGAATACGAAGACAAGTTCTACGCCGCGCATGCTATTTTTAGTAACGCCATCAAGGACATGGGAGGTCAAGATCATGGACAGGACCAGTCGAACATTCTACTTTCAAGTACAGTGGAACGCCTATTTGAGGGACAAAACAACCTTTTGGAGAAAATTCATACTTCATCGGGAACTGCTGATTTAAGGGGTTATATACAGTTGTACCGCGCAAAAATATGGATTTTTATCGATTTTTTTTTGACACCATAAAAAATATTTATGAAAAATGTTTTACCGACGTTGTTTAGTACATGTTTCTATGTACTTAATTAAATTTTTCATAAAAAATATTACATAACAAAAATGTTATAGCCGAATTCCCGGATCGTCTTTTTTCGATGGTGTCTTGCGGTGGACATGATTTCTCGAAAACGGTTCATCCGAAATCCAAAATTCAAAAAAGTTTAGTTAGTATATTGTATTGTCTAGTCCGTGAACGAGGGATTTTTAAAAATTTTGATTTAAAAAAAAATGGCGACGTTTTTAACAAAAATGTACTTTTTCAAGGTATAAGATTTTCGTTTTTTGTGCTTTAAAAAAGGAGTTTTCAAAAAATTAGTAGTTCGGATTAGTAGTTTTTTAGTAATCGTGTCCACCGCAAAGGTATTTTTCCAAAAAAAAGATTTTGAGATAATCGCGTTTAAAGTTTCAAGTTTGTTCAAGTTTTATATGCAGATAGTGCGCTATAAATAGCTACAGCTTCGGTTCTAATGCTCCGATCGTTATGAATTGAGAGTGAGAGTGTTCCCAATAGAATATACTTAAAGAATATGCAATAAAAAAAAAATCGATTTTTTCATATGTCACAACTGACATATAACCCCTTAAGGTTTGAGAAAATTCGGATTCCCACATTTTCTGGTAAATATGAGGATTGGAGACAGTTTAGTGATCTGTTCTTAAGCTCAGTAAATAGTAACGAAAAGCTCTCCAAGTGCCAAAAGTTTCATTATCTCAAATCATATCTGGAGGAAGAAGCACTGTCCCTAATTAAACATATTGCCGTCTGTAATAATAATTACCAAGACGCATGGGAAAAATTAGACAATCGTTATAATAAAAGGTCGCTCATCGCTCGATCGTTTGTTCAGAATTTTTATCGTTGCCAACCGCTAACAATTCGAATATTGCAGAATTACGCAAGGTAATTGACTCGGCCGACGAATGCATTCGAGGCTTACATGCGCTGAACTGTGACAGCCGCGATGTATGGCTCATTCATATTTTGCTGTCAAAGTTAGGTTCATAAATTAAACAAGCTTGGGCCAACTGCAGTTTATCGGCCGCTGAAGACGTCACCATAGAGGAGCTGTTCGCCTTTCTTTTCGCTCATTGTGATACTTTGGAGTCTTGTCAGGATTTACCCGCAATGCAACCCTCAAGACCAGCCCAGAGTAGACGCCGCCAAGCCGCCTTTCATGCCAGTGGATCAACTCAGTCGTCTCGCGAATGTATATATTGCCAAAGACAGCATTCTATATATTCATGCAAGGCACTGGATGTAGTCAGCCGCCGCACCTTCGCCAAGGATACAAAATTATGCTTCAACTGCTTGAGTCGATCTCATCAAGTCAGGGATTGTAATTCATCGAACACTTGCCGTCAGTGCAACGCTAAGCATCACACGTTAGTACACCCGATTGAAGCAAGATCGGTTCCTGTGGCACCTGCGCACTCGACTGCCGTTGTTAGCCATCATATTTTGGAGAGGGCCAACAATCCAGCCCTACTGCCAAATGTTGTCGCCAATGTAATTGACACATGGGGAAACGAGACCTCATGTAGGTTATTGCTCGATACTGGATCAACAATAACCATGGTATCTGAGTCCTTTATCCAAAGGATCGGTAGTTGGTTTAGGTGCTAACCCGGCTGGTGTTAGCCGAGGTCGCGCTAGCTTCACCTTACTCTCAAGAACCACGACTGCATCATTGGAAGTCTCTTGTCTAATTATGAGTTCTCTAACTTCTACGATTCCAGCTCAGCAGGTCAAATCAAATGGAGCAGGTCAATTTGGACCAAGATTCGCAGCCTACCGCTAGCTGACCCGACGTTTGGATCTCCGGGCAAAATCGACGTTATCTTAGGCGCTGATCAGCTGTGGAACTTATATACTGGACATCGCCGAGAGTTTGGTATCGAATACCCCATCGCACTGCATACTAATTTTGGTTGGGTTATTACAGGCAGCTATACTGATTGTAACGAAGCATCTACGCACGCACAAGTTCATCACGCTTATGAAGATTTGGATTCCTTAGTTCGCTCATTTATGGACATGGAACAAGTGCATCCGAGTAAAACAACGATAGACGCCAGTGATCCCGCCGAATAACATTTTCTGAAAACACATGCTCGTAGAGAAGATGGTGTTTATATTGTTCAATACCCATTCAAGGAGCCCCGCACGCCAATTGGCTCCACTTTGCCACAGGCTTTAAACCGCTTCGCCGCTTTGGAAAGGAAATTTAGAAGATTCCCCGCACTCAAACAACAATATGTGGATTTCATGGATGATTATTTAAATCGAGGACATATGGAATTGATTCCGGCTGCTGCAGGCGGTGAGGATCGCGCACGCTACAACTATTTGGCACACCGTGCAGTTTTTAAGCCAGATAGTACTACCACACGTTGCCGAGTGGTATTTGACGGCTCTGGAAAGGATTCCACGGGTCATTCTCTTAATTCGCGACTGCAAATAGGAACGCCTATTCAAAGGGACTTAATTGGAGTATGCCTTCGATTTCGTCAGCATCGTTATGTATTTTGTGCAGACATCGAGAAGATGTAAACAGCTCTCCAATGACTATGCCGAATTGTATCCCACCGCTGCTGTCGTGCTCAACAGAGACGCGTACGTTGATGATATTCCTACTGGATGCGACAACATCAAGGATCTCATTGCACTCAAAGATGAATTGATTCTGCTTCTTAGCGAAGCTCAATTCAAAATGCGAAAGTGGAGCTCAAACTGTTACGCCCTTTTAAAGTCGTTGCCAAAGGAGATTTGTGAGTATCCACCAGAGGATTTAGAGGAAGACCGCTCATTTCGATTTGTTAAAGTCCTGGGATTGTGGTGGGAACCAAAACCGGACTATATTTTCTTCAAATTAGAAGCCCCCGCATTTACAACTGCTCTTACTAAACGCATATTGCTTTCAGAACTAGCCAAGATCTACGACCCGCTGGGTTTGCTTTCGCCAACTGTTGTTTTTCTGAAGATCCTATTTCAAGATAGTTGGCTAAGTTCTGTCGATTGGAATGAAGTACTACCGCAGCAATTATGTACACGATGGCAACAGTTTGTATCGGAAATGCATTTATTGGAAACTTGTCGAGTTCCTCGCTACATATCTGTACCACATCAAGAAATGGAACTGCACGGATTTGCTGATGCATCATCTCAAGCGTATGCTGCCGTCATCTATAGCCGCGTCGAAGTCAACAATGGATATGCTGTCAAACTGATTATGGCTAAAACTCGCGTAGCCTCTATTAAGCCTATCTCTATTCCGCGACTAGAGTTAAACGCAGCTCATTTACTCTCTAAACTGATTTATCTGGTCAAGCAATCATTAACTGTTCCTATTTCCAGAATCAATTGTTGGTCAGACTCTGAAATAGTCCTGCATTGGCTATCTTCTCTGCCTAGGACTTGGAACACCTATGTTTGCAACCACACTGCTGAAATTCTAGAGGTTTGCTCACGCAGCTGCTGGCAACATATTCGAAGTGGTGATAATCCCGCAGACTGCGCATCGCGAGGAGTACTGCCAAAGGACATCGTGGATCATCAAATATGGTGGAATGGACCACCTTGGCTATCTCAGTCCCGTTCAGCTTGGCCACCTGTTAAAGCTAAGTTTGTTCTGTCGACAGAAGAAGAGGCCTGCCTAGAGATGAAGGCTGAAACGAAAGTTAATCTACACATTTCCGACGACGGAAATTCGCTATCTTGTATGATCAACAAATCCTCCTCATGGTCCCGTTTATTAAGGATAGTCAGCTACTGCCTTCGCTTCGTTCATCGTCTTCGTGAGAGGAATCGACTTTCACCATTCCTATCGGCGTGGGAGCTACAATATGCATGAGCTAAGATCTTTACGCACGCTCAAGAGGAGTTCTTCAACGTGGAGTACAAGCAGTTAACTACCGGACAGCCATTGTCGAAGAAATCGAAGTTGATTCGCTACACACCCTTTTTAGACGAGCAGAGAGTAATGCGTGTTGGTGGTCGCATTGATGATTCTATAGCTACTTATGACGCAAGGCATCCCATTCTCCTTCCTAAGGAATCTCCAATGGCTGGTCTGCTAGTTCGCTATCAACATGCTGCATTGTTACACGCTGGAGTCGAATACACGTTTCATAGTCTACGCCAAAGGTATTGGATTCTAGAAGCTCGGAACCTCATCCGCAAAACTGTATTTCAAGCTTCATGGCCAGCCACGAGATTAATTTGCATTTCATTCCGCCATCTGCTCCCCATTTCGGAAGCATTTGGGAGACTGGTGTGAGATCCATAAAGCTGCACTTAAAACGAGTCATTGGCAGCAGTGCCTTGAAATTCGAGGAGTATTCGACCCTGTTAATTCAGATTGAAGGGCTTCTGAACTCTCGCCCTTTATGCGCACCTAGCGATCACAGTCTTAACCCGCTAACTCCTTCTCATTTTCTAACAGGTCAGCCTCTCACTTCGGTACCAGAACCATCTTTCCTGGATGTAAACATCAACAGACTGCAGCGCTGGAGACAACTACAGGCCAAGGTTCAAGGTTTCTGGAAACACGCTTCTCAGCACGCTTCAACCTCGCACGAAATGGCATCAAGATGCTCCAAATGTTGCCGTGGACACACTGGTTGTGCTGAAGGAGCCCAATCAACCGCCAAGCAAGTGGATGCTAGGACGAGTCACCGAAGTTCATCCTGGCCAGGATCAGAGGGGCCGGGTGGTCACAGTTAAAACCGCCAAGGGAATCTACAAGCGCCCTATTACGAAAATTGCTGTGCTTCCTTTGAACTGAACCGTCGTTCAGGGGGGCCGGTATGTTGAGAAATTGTTCGTCTTTATTTTGCATTTAAATAGTATTACATTTGCTTCTTTACTTGTTAATTAATTTCTTATTATCGTACCTATTTTTGCGCACATCATTGTCTTGTTTACCATTTGGGAGCTTTAAGCTCACACGCATAGCCGAAATTGCAGTGCAATGCGTTAGTATTAGAACATCACGCGATCGTTTTTCAGTTCTTTTTCTGCACGTTTTGCAAGCCGGCCGCATTCTCTTGTTGACATTAACCGCAACCGCTCGCTGATAGCAACCCCGCTTAAAAACATTGTAAACCCGCTAAATAGTGAAAATAAATGCATAAAAGTATAATAAAAACCATAATACAGTCCACTATTCATAAACAACGACAGACATAAAAAAATACATGAGCTTGGCGAAACACCAATCCCATCTCAAGTAGGAGAAATGCTGCACATAGACATCTTCTCCACGGATAAAATGTATTTCCTCCACGGAATATGGATTTCTTCCACTATTTCCACGGAGTAAAAGTAAATTCTCGAAATTTGCCGTTGTCCAACCAGTTCCCTCTAGAACTATAGAGGATTTCAAACCAGCGCTACTACAGCTGATGAACATTTTCCCCAAGGCCAGGGTCATATATTGCGACAACGAACCATCGTTGAACTCGCACACCATCGTGGCCATGAAAACCACTTCGGCGTTAGCATCTCAAATGCTCCGCCCCTACACAGTGTCTCCAATGGACAAGTGGAGCGTTTCCACAGCACTTTGGTAGAGCTTGCTAGATGTCTTAAAATCGATAAAGGCATCAGCGATACCGTAGAGCTGATACTTCTGGCCACTGCCAGATATAACAAGTCCATCCACTCGGTCATCGACAAGAGACCGGCTGACGTGGTTCAGGCACAATCAGGTGAGCCACAATATGAAATTCAAGATAAAATTAAACTCGCCCAAGACAAGCTCCGGGACAGGGAAAACACTTTCCGCCAAAATAGAGTATTCGAGGTTGGCGAAAAAGTCCTAGTGAAGTCCAACAGACGCCTAGGGAACAAACTCTGACCGTTATGTGAAGAGAAGACCGTTGAAGCGGACATGGGGACCACAGTCCTCATTAAGGGGAGGGTGGTCCACAAAGACAATTTTAGGTGGGTCAAGCGTGCCTATATAATCGCTCGCCTAATAATTTTTTATTTTTTTATTATCTTTTTCCTAGTCACTTGGCATAAGTCTCGTTTCCATTATTATTTTAATCATGCTTTGGTGGTGGGCTACCCAATCTCAACAAACTTCACAACATATCCAAATTACAGGTTTTCAACCATATCCCTGATTTTTCTTTTGGCCGCAACATCGGCACGCGTCACGGACAATTCCAAAGCCACATATATTCCCATCGTTGATGGTCAAATTCTGATATGGGAGGAATTCGCATTTACAAAACACTCAGCAAATCTGTCTGAATATAGGCGCGTCATCGAAGAAACTAATGGGATGATTGACATGTTCCCTCAGTCTCACATGCAGAAACTCCTAGTTGTTGATGTCCCCCACCTACGCGACCTGCTCGACTCGTTGAGCATCCATCATAGGGTAGCAAAAAGCTTAGACTCCTTAGGGACCCCGTTAAAAGTAGTGGCGGGAACGCCAGACGCAGAGGACTTTAAAAAATTAAATTTAATGAATTCCAACTAATAAATGCAAACAAAAGGCGAATTGACATTAACAATAAAGTACAAATCCAAAACAACAAAATTTCCGCTACCGTCAACCAACTTCTGAGGTCAGCGAAAACGTCCCAAATTGATTCTGGGCAGCTATTCGAGGTGCTTTTAACTCGGAATAGGATGATAGCAATGGAGCTGCAGGGTTTGATGCTAGCAGTGGTGCTTGCCAAGGCTATTGTTGTTAGCCCCAGCATCCTAGATCATGCAGACCTAGAAGGTATGTGGATGGCAGAGCCCACCGAGACCGCGATTAGGGATGTTTTGTCCGTATCGTCCGTTAAAATTGTACAGTCCGATAACATCTTACATTTTATCATTCAATTTCCGAAAATAAAGTCGAAATGTAGCAAGATCACCATTTTCCCGGTGTCACATCACGACACCATACTCAGGCTGGAAGACAACGTCATTGCCGAATGCGACGCGTGGAAATGCGTGGAAAATTGCTCCCCGACATCAGGAGCTACATTTTGCCGGCTGGCTCGCAGAAGATCATGCGCCCAAGAGCTTCACGCTGGAGGCACGGCATATTGCGAGACCCAATAAAGCGATTTACACCCCATCACTTATGTTGATGAGGGGATAGTAATGGTAAATGATCGCCCGGCTCGCGTGTGTGTGGATAATGGCACCTGTGTCCATATAAGGGGCACATATCTCGTCACCTTTGAAAAGAGTGCCACTGTCAATGAAACCCGATCGGTCAATCATGACACGACCTGGAAGAGGGCTCCAGGAGTGGCCAGCTCACCTTCCCTGAACGTCACTATGGAACGTAACGTTCTCAGTCTACCTTACCTTCACCGGTTGAGTGAACGTAACCTGGAACATATTACGGGGAGAAGATTAACCACCATCAGTTACATCAGATGGTGTTCATAGCGATCAATTGTTCAATATGCTGCGCTTTAATTTGCATCGGCTTGACCTATCGGCGAGTCACTCAGGCCCGAAGAACCGCGGCCCAACTAAAGGAGATGGTCGCCCAAATAGAGTCGGCCGAGGGCGGCCTCATTCTTGAATGGGGAGTAGTTAACGGAAGTTAACGGAGCAGCGGCAATGTCCGGTTATTTAAGAACTCGCTCTGGCCAAACTGCTGACACAGCATCTGGCCGGATGCCCATACATAGCGGCGAGCACTGCATATTTGCGTGGCCGCTATGAAATACATTTTGTTAGCTTTAAGTTTCAATTTGTATCAGAGCCTCAAAGAATAATGAGCATTGAAATCAAATCTCCGGCACAGCCGTTAAATTTTATTGAATTAATCACCGCGCCTCAAGGACCGTGATAACGGAGCAAGTGCTCCCACCGTATTTCCTGTTAAGAAGGCAGAAACCCCTCGGCATACGCATCCCCTACGCCTGTGACGACTCCGCCATCAGCGAGGGATAATCCAAAAACACCATTACACACCCATAAGTCAATCACTCCCTACACCTGTGACGACTCCTCTATCAGCGAGGGATAACCCAAGCATACCATAACACACCCATATGTTAATTTACTTATATGGAACAACAGAAAAACCTCTCTTGCTGGACAACAATAGAAAAACCACATCTGAGTGAGTAGAGTTGAGTAATGTGCAAGCAGCGCGATGGTATAAACTACAAAAAAAATAAAAGATTAGCCAAACTAAAGTGGTTAATATACAACCAATCGCCACCACCTGCATGGTCTACAGCCCAGAAGTTACAAACTTAGCTTGACTATCTTATAGAGACCCTACGGGTTAAATAAGAAGCCTCTCACTCTAACTCGCCAGATAATAATAAACAAATAAAGAACTTGTTAAAACTAAAACGTAAAACTAAACAAAAAAGAGATGTCCTGTTGACTGGGAGGGACCGCTATGCAACCAGAAGGAGCGATAGCCTTAGCAATATAAAACAAAATTGTAAAATCGTGCGAATACCTATTTGCTCGATAGCAGTGCAGCCCGTATAGCTGTACGAAAATTAGTTAGCAAACTGTCAAACCAAATATAATCAAAAAAAAAATTCAAATGAAAATTATCAATAAAAATTTATCAATTATGAATAACAACAGCATAAGTAAATATCCATATAAAAATATATATAATAAAAATTACATTAATAGAAAATAATTATCCAACTGATATGGGGCTAATAGACACTAAAACAGTGAAAATGTCATCAACAAAGTTGAAGATGAGAATAAAGACAAGGGTTTAATAATCACATTATTGATTATCATCGTAGTAATAATGTGTACTAATGTATTTTTTTAAATCTATAAATTGCACAACAGGTGCCTAAGAAAAAAATATTTAAACCAGGCAAATGACCTGGATAAAATTTAAAAAAATTTAAAAAATATAAAACAGCAACAAAGATTGCATAAAACAAAAAGTTAAATATATTTTTGCATTTTAACAATATATATAAAATTTAATTCAATTTACAATACTAAATAAATTCTTATCCAATCTATGTTTGTTCTTTCGTTTGACACAATTTATATCGAAGACTCTATAAGCATGAAATGGAATGGCATCTATTGAATGCCGAATTAGTTGAAATCAAATTAAAACTTGATAAATCGTACAAATGCTTAACGCAAAATAGGAATATTACAAACGTGACTATAAGTAAGCACGCAACGATATTAGTTGCCTGTTTCAATCAAGCACAATCATTGATACACGACAACAGAGAAAAACTAAATACTCACCATTGGTCACATGTATCAGAATTTTTACATAGATTAAAAAATAATCTAAATAATATTAAAAAAATTACTCACTGGATATAACAATATCCTTAATAATAAGCACTCCAGCAGTAGTCGAAGAAGATACAATTACAGATATAGACTTTGTTGGCGATTCAAAAGATATAATAAAAAAAGAAGAACTACATTATCTAACAATACCAGCGGTTATAATTTTACCCGAGCCACCCGAATCTGAATCAGAGTCCGTAATCGAAAAACCAGTATACATGGCTATGACACAATTAGAATATCTAAGGTTAGCCTCATCGATAATACTTGAGTTCGATGGAAAGGCATAAAACCTAACTAGTTTTATAGACGGTTTGAGTCTAATTGATTTAATGAAAGGTCTTTGTGAAACAGTAGCTATTAGTCTAATAAAGACAAAATTAAAAGACCATGCAAAAAAGTTAACAACAAATGAAGTGACAATTACAGCCATAATTTATAAACTAAAATTTAAAGTAAAAAAAGAATCAGTAGAAGTAATTTCAGCAAAATTACTGAATCTACAACAAAAACAGAAAACGGCCAACCAATATGTAGAAGAAGTAGACAAGTTGACAAAGGCCCTAGAAGGAGCCTATATCGACGATGGACTAACTTCAGAAATAGCTGCCAAATACAGCACAGCACATGCTGTTAAGGCAATAGTCAAAAACTGCTCAATAGATGGGGTAAAACACATTATGGAAGCTGGCACGTTCAGCACTATGGACGAGGCCACATCGCAATTTTTAATAGTTGCACAGAAGCAACAGGACACGCTAATAGCGTCTTGCACTTCAGTGGGCAACAAAATAATAATAGAGGTAGCCGTGGAAGCTGCCGAGGAAGGGCCAATTACAACAACAACGGCAAAAGCCGATAGTAATAACAATAATAGAGGGCAGAGGACAGTCCAGAGGAAATTACAGGGGTCGCGGTAACTCAAGTCGCGGCCACGGTAACAATAACCCCTCTAACGTACACAGAGCAGTTCGGAAAACTGCCAGACACCTTTAGGTACCCAAAATTAAATAAAAAAGTACACACAATAAACTTTAGTCTGAATATGTTTGTAACCTTTAAGAACACTTCTACAAACAGTACTCTCACATTTCTGCTAGACACAGGAGATTAACGAGACATTATTGATATGTGTCAAAAACGATACCGTTTCTTTGAAGTTGTACCCCAAAAAATGTCGTCAAAGTCCGAAAAAAACGAACAAAATGCCGAAATGTCTATTTCTTGTGTAAACATTTTATCCTTTTTGTTGAAATAAATTAAAGATATATTTTTTTTTTTCAAAAGCTACAACATTTATCTATTGAAAAACGTCATAAATTTTACGGTTAATTACGCGCTTAAGAATTTTTAAGAGCAAAAAAGTCCCGAAAAACCGTTTTTTCTAAATAAATCAATATTTTGAAGGTGTTCGAAAAATTTTAAACACGGTTTTATACTATATTCAACCTAATGAACAATTCCTACTAGGTCTCTTCAAAAGTTCCAAATCACTGTGTAATTAAAGAAAACTCAGATGTCTTTGAAAGAAACAAGAAAGAAAAGCTAACTTCGGGCGGAGCCGAAGCTTATACATCCTTGCAGTTAAAACCGGATATATATCGCAAACATCGGATATAGTTGGCCGATCCTTAAGAAATTTAGCATGTCGTATTATTTTGCCAAAAATAGTGTAAAATTTGAACTTTCTAACTCTAAAAACACCAAAGTTATACCATTTCCGATCAATCAGTTATATGGCAGCTATAGGATATAGGCGGCCGATTCCGGTCGTTCCGACTTATATACTGCGTGCAAAGGAAAGAAGGGTGTGTGCAAAGTTTTAAGTCGATAGCTTTAAAACTGAGAGACTAGCTTGCGTAGAAACAGACAGACGGACAGACTCAGGAGGTAATCCCGAACAAGAATATATATACTTTATAGGGTCGGAGATGTCTCCTTCACTGCGTTGCACACTTTTGACCAAAATTATAATACCCTCGGCAAGGGTATAAAAATCGAAAAAATAAAAACTGTAAAGATTCAAGGCATTGGACATGTCATTTTCACGCCCAAAGGCTTAATCCAAATGGAGCTACAGACAGACAGATATATTATTCCATATAATTTCCATTAGGTCCTTACAAATTTTTGCAATACCATGTGATGGAATAATAGGGGTTGACTTCATAAAAACCTTTAATTGAAAACTAGACTGTGAACCAGAAAATAATTGGTTCATACTAAGACCAAATAACCTAAAATACCCCATGTATGTTCCAATAAAATTCAGCTCCGGTAATAGTTTAATACTATTAACAGCAAGATCTTTGAATGCCCGAAAGTTAGACATTAGCTCAACAGAAGATAATGTCTTAATTCATAACCAAGAAATTACATCTGGTATTTATGCTGGAAATACAGAGGCAACATCTAATAACGCATTTGTCCGTTTACTGAATACAACCAGTAGCGACCAATTGGTCGATATAAATAATATCAATTATGAACCTCTTTCGAGTTATGAAATAATTCAAACAAACAAAAGTTCGAAAACAGAAGAAGTCATAGCTCAATTACAGAAACATTTTCCAAAACAATTTAAGTCACAACTCACTGAAATATGTTCAACATATAATGATATATTCGGACTTGAAACCGAATCAATCACAACAAACAACTTTTACAAACAAGAATTAGGACTAAAGGATAAAGAACCAGTGTACATAAAAAATTACAGAACACCGCATAGTCATCAAGAAGAGATAAAGAAATAAGTAAATAAGCTAATAAAAGACAATATAGTTGAAGAATCTGTATCAAAGTATAATAGCCCTCTTTTATTAGTACCGCCAAAGTACCGCTCTTTTATTAGTAGACTATCTCCAAAGAAATAAAAAAAACTGTCCGATAAATTTCCCCTATCCAGGATCGTTGACATTCTAGATCAGAGGTCGGCACGGCCCTATCTCGGGGGCATAGGAAATTTCTCTGCCCCAGCTCTACCACACACACACAGTATACATGTGTGAAACGTCATGCTCACAGCCTACTTTCTGCTATTCGTTACTAACACTAATGCGGTAAAATCATATCAATGTATTGGGGTGCCGACCACGGTTCTAGATCAACTAGGTAGAGCTAAATACTTTTCATGCCTTGACCTTATGTCAGGATTTCATCAAATAGAGCTAGAAGAAAGCTCTAGAAATATAACGTCATTCTCAACAAAGAATGGATCATATCGCTTCAAGCGACTCCCATTTGGTTTAAAAATAGCACCAAATTCATTTCAGAGAATGATGAAAATAGTATTCTCGGGTCTAGAAGCATCACAGGCATTCCTTTATATGGACAATATTATCGTCATTGGATGTTCAGAAAAACATATGATCAAAAACCTAATCAATGTATTTAAACTCTGTAAAAAA